CCAGAGTAGAAATCAGTTTGTGGCTTATTTTAATTCCTCAAGCCTAATAAGGCTCATATAAATACACCTATAAGGTTTTAATGTTACTTTGAAATGTATTGAAAGTTTGGTTTTAATACTTGTTTGTGATTGGTGCACTAAAAATTTTGGCGCCAAATTCAACCCCTGTATACTTATATATTCAGTTCCTTGCCAGGTGTACTGTTCTTTTACCATTTTGAGAAAACCCCAAAGGTGAAACGCGTAAATGGTTTTAATAAGTGTATTTTAATCAATAAAAGTTATTTTTGGTTACCTTTTATATCAGGACCAATTGTATACTTATTTTTATTGTATTTTATACACTTTCTTTTACTCCTGGCATTTTTATATATTTTTCTATATCACCATAAACTAGTTTTATCCATCCCTTTTTTTTTTTTTTTTTTAATCTATATTTTTGGTTTGTACAAGAAATGCAATAATGTCTGAGAATCCTGTAGTACACCGAATGACCGGTAGGGGTCAGTGTGTAGGCACAAATGCAGTGGTTCGTTTGTTTGTACATTAAATGCAATAATGTCTGAGATCCCTGTAGTACACTGAATGACCGGTAGGGGTCAGTGTCTTGGTGAAAATGCAGTGGTTTGTACACGAAATGCAAAACCGTCTAAGAAGCCTGTAGTACACTGAATGACCGATAGGGGTCAGTGTGTAGGCGCAAATGCAGTGGTTCGTTGGTTTGTACATGAAATGCAATAATGTCTGAGATGCCTGTAGTACACTGAATGACCGGTAGGGGTCAGTGTCTTGGTGAAAATGCAGTGGTTTGTACATGAAATGCAAAAACGTCTAAGAAGCCTGTAGTACACTGAATGACCGATAGAGGTCAGTGTGTAGGCGCAAATGCAGTGGTTCGTTGGTTTGTACATGAAATGCAATAATGTCTGAGAAGCCTGTAGTACACTAAATTACCGGTAGGGGTCAGTGTGTAGGTGAAAATACAGTGGTTTATTGTAGAACAGTTCTGGTGTACCTAATATACCACACAGGAGAGAGGGAGACAGACTAGCACTAAGCTGCTCGAAAACTGGTAATGATAGGGATTCACTAAAAACCTATATAGAACAAGGGAAAAGAACTCTCTAGAAGAGTGGGAATACCAGGAGCTGGCTAGGTGACTAATGGCTAAAATACTAATACATAGAGATAAATATAAATATAAAAAAAATATATAAATATAAAAATATATATATGGTACTATGCCTTTAAATCTGGAATGGACAAAGTATCCCTATAAATGTGCAAAAATGTGAGTAAAAGTGCTATGAGTGGAGATCTCAAATAAACGGGATATCCCTTTAAATGTGCAAGAATACAAAGAGAATGCTGCTATACCTTTAAATGTCCTTTAAGAGTGTGCAAACATGCAAAGCAGTGCTATATAAGGGGGGTAAAAAAAAAAATAAAAAAAAAAAGGTATATATATATATATATATAAATAAAATACAAAAATGCAAAAAGGGGAAAGATGAGAGACCAAATTCTCTGCTGGATGACCAAAAAATATGTATGAAACTGGTGTCTATATCCCAAACAACATGAGGGATAAATGATACCTGTTGCAAATAATATACTTAGTAAAAGATAGAAGTAAAAAATAAGCTATACAGTACAAGGAACTGTTAGCTTTAGGCAATAAAAATGAAAACAATATATCGCTGGAAAACTGAAGCATAAAACTGGATCACTTCATATAAGAAAAAAATGCCAGTTTATTGAATATAATAAAATAACTTTGGAAAAAGTTAAAGATAAAAATACAGGTCACACTAGATTCAGAAATGCATTACCAGACTGAAGCATTGAAAAATAACAGCAAGGACCTTCAGATTGTTAAGGATGGATATGGATTGTGATGATTCAATATACAGCTGCCGGTGAGGATGGCTTGTGTCTGTGAGCACGTCCCGAGCAGGAGCCTCACTTCAGGGGACGTGCAGGACAGATGCCTCCGGTGGCGGTACTTTCCAAACAGGTCCTGCGTGTGCAGATTAGTGGTGCTGCTGGTACATGCGTCTGATCCCGTGTGTTGCTGGAATGCCTGTCTTACGCGTTTCGTAGGGAATGGGCCCTACTTCATCAGAGACATAATAGTGTCTAGTGCTTCAGTTCTTCTTTATATACATTGCCTAATTATCAATCACATTTAGGTGTTAAAACCAATATATTCTATACTAATAAAAACAGTATTTGTACCTGCATAAAATGATACATACATATACATAAAATGCAAATCATTGCCACTAGGGTAAAAACAATATTTATAAAGTCTCATAAAATGTAGACAGATACATAAGACCGGTAAATGTAAAAATACATAAAAGCAATATATGAATGTTCCAAATGGAAGGAACATATTTAATGAATCAATTAGAGATAATGAAATGCTGGACATAAATTGGTATATATACATGAAGATGGATAAAATCATAATAGTATATTGACTACATATGGATAACCAATACTAGATAGGTACCATATAGGTATAGTGTCAATCCATCCTTCTAGGAGAAAACAGGAGAACAAATAATAGTTAATATATACAAAATAGATAATAAATAAATAAATGAATAATCCCTGGTGGTAGTCTGTAACTATAAATAAAGGTGGAAGAAAAAAAAAAAAATAAATAAAATAAATAAATAAATAAATAAATAAATAAATAATAATAAATAAATAAAATAAAATAATAAAGATATATTATAGGAAAGCATTAAGCTCAAAATCTACATTAAGTCCCTTAGGGACCAAAGTCCCTAACTTAAAAATCCACTTCGCTTCTGTCTGATCTAGAGCCTTATCAATGCTGCCTCCTCTCCAGTGGGTATTCACTTTCTCAATAGGCATAAATGCAAGTCCTGTGGGGTCTCCCCCATGTATCTCTTTAAAGTGCTTGGAAAGATTATGCGTTGGAAGTCCCTTCTTAATATTTCTAATGTGTTCAGCAATACGTATTTTGAGGGGTCTTTTTGTACGTCCAATATATTGTTGTGGGCATGGACATGTTATTAAATAGATAACTCCTGATGTAGTACAGTCCATGTTGGTCTTGATATCATATTCCTCTTGAGTGGTGTGGGATTTAAATCCAGTGGTTGTGTCTTCTAATGATGGATTATTTCTACATGCTAGACACTTCTTGCATCTTGTGAAGCCACTGATGGTACCTTGATCCAAATCAGCACTTTCAGGTTTAGTGGTCGGTGCCAGCATAAGTTGCAGGTTGGGTGCCCTAGTAAAAATAATCTGAGGTTGATTGTCAAGGAATTTAGATAACGTTGGATCATTCTTAAGGATCCCCCAGTGCTTCCTAAGTGTCTTCTGTATTGTATGAAATTGATGATTATATTTAGTGATAAAGGTGGGTGCTGAATTGGATACTTCTGTGGTGCTGGGTTTATTGCATAAGGTATCCTCTCTTGGGGTGGTAAGTGCTATATCCATAGATTCTTCTAATAGCGTTGGGGGATAACCCTTTTTCAGGAATCTCTGCTTCATTTCTTCCATTTGTGACTTACACACTTCATTATTCGAGCAGTTGCGTCTTACCCTCCTGAACTGGTTCTGAGGTATGTTTCTTAACCATGTTGACTTGTGATGGCTGTTAAAAGGAATAAAACTATTACAGTCCACATTCTTCTTAAAAGTCTTGGTGTTGATTTGTCCCTCTTTGATATAGATATCCAGATCTAAAAATTCAATGTGTTCTTTAGAGTGGTTAAAAGTAAAGTTCAGATGATATGGGTTGTTGTTAAGATAAGTTTTAAAACTCTCTAAGGATCCAAGGTCTCCTTTCCATATAAAGAAGCAATCGTCGATATATCTGAGCCACAGGGACAGATTTGCGCCAAATGGGCAATGGGTCCATATATATTCTTCTTCCCATTTGCCCATAAATAAATTAGCGTAACTTGGCGCAAATCGTGTCCCCATGGCTGTGCCTTCAATCTGTAGATAAAATAAGTCATCACACCAAAAATAATTATGTGTGAGAATAAAAACGATACACTGAATGAGGAAATCAATTTGGTCATTTTTTAAATCGGAATATGTTGCTAGGGAGAATTGTGTGGCCTCACATCCTTGGAGGTGTTCAATTACTGTATAGAGAGAGGTAACATCAGCAGTGACTAAAATCATCTCATCTTCCCACTTAAAATCAGATAAAATGTTTAAAACTTGAGTGGAATCTCTGAGGTAGGATTTTAAACAGGAGACCAAACGTTGCAAATATTGGTCAACGTATTCAGAAAGGTTTGAGGTGAGGGATCCAATTCCTGATACGATTGGCCTTCCAGGAGGTTTCACCAGTCTCTTATATATTTTTGGTAGATGGTAGAATACCGGTATCCTTGGGTATTGGACATACAGATATTTGTATTCTCTTTCATTTAAAATCCCTCTATCCTTTCCGTAATTCAGTATTTCCTTAAGTTCGTCTTGATATTGGATAGTGGGATCACCTTTCAATTGCAGATACGTATTAGTGTCTCCTAATAATCTCTGATTTTCCTCCCCATAATCGCTGGTATTGAGAATAACCAATCCACCACCTTTATCCGCTGCTTTTATTGTGATGTCTTCAGATCTCATGAGTTGTTTGAGTGCATTCCTTTCTTTTCTGGTCAAATTATCTTTCGTGATTTTCTTGGTGATTTTGCTCCTAAAGTCTTTCTCGACCATTTTTTCAAATACTCGAATGGAGTCATTTTTCATGTGTTGTGGATAAAAAGTGGAGGTTGGGTGTAGCCCAGTGTGAGTATAATCCAAATCTGTTTCTTGTTTTGCCATGTCTTTTTCAAGGAAGAATTTCTTAATTGATAACTTCCGTATAAATTTGTGTAGATCTATAAAAACGTTAAAATCTGAATTCTTGGATGTAGGAGCGAACTTAAGGCCTTTTTTCAGAAGGGATGTTTCATCGGAGGTAAGGGTCCTATTGGATAAGTTGAAAATATTTATTTCCTCCTTTTCTGTTGTGTCTGTTCTTCGTGTAGTTCTGCTTCTTCTTCTAGATCTCTTAATGTTCTTTTCTTTCTCACATCCGGAGACATGAAATCTTCCACTGAGAATCTCTTGGGGGGAATCCTCCCCCGTTTCTCTAAAAAATCATTCTCAGTGTGAATACTGGAGATATGTCTTTGATTATTCTCCAAGTTAGTCTTTCTGTGATCTGGGGGAAGAATTCTAGGGCTTGGGGATGATGTTTCCTTAAAGTCAGACGATTTTCCACTTCTAGATACAAAGGAGGTCTGTCTTGGATAATGTTGGTATCTTCCTTGATCTCGATACTCTGTGTTTCTGTGTTCATACTCTGTCTTTCTGTGTTCATATCGTTGATGGTGTTGGTTATATGTGACTCGTTGTTGCCTGTTCTGTGGTGGTCTGTTGTATGTCCAGTCATTAGTGGAATATTTTCTAGGGGTCTTCCGGGATAATAGAGCATCCCTATAGGACTGATGGTATTGGGGTCTAGGTTCTGTTCTATGCTTGATAGGAGAATTGTGAAATGGTCTCCTATCTTTCTTCCAATTTCTCTGGATTTGATTCCTATAGTCGGCCTGATCCAGAAAATCCTTCATGGACACCTGGTCACTGAAGGAGAGTGATTTACCCACAACTGAAACTATCCCCCCATCTCAGGGAAAGTCAGACAGTGTTAGATCCCTCATTTACCAACTAGGTAAAACTATGGAGAAAGAGGTCCATGTGTGGTGGGACATAGCCACTTTAGATTTCTATGTGAACAACAACATAGTACCTAGAGGCTTAAGACTATTTAAACGGTCCACATACAAACGTCATGATCAGACCTTACTTAAAAAGTGGGATCAGCTATTGGACAAGGGTTCATTACTGTTAATGGTGTTTCTCATTAATGAAAAGAAAAAAGATTTGACCCAACTAGATCATGAAATTACTGAATTAAAGGCCTCTATCAGACCTCTAGTGGAGAGTGGCGATTATATAGGCCTTTTGGAAAAAATTGAAAAGAGAGTGAAGGACATAGAAGAAAACATCAGGGAAGTCAAAAGAAAGAAAATAATGAGGGATCAGGCCGACTATAGGAATCAAATCCAGAGAAATTGGAAGAAAGATAGGAGACCATTTCACAATTCTCCTATCAAGCATAGAACAGAACCTAGACCCCAATACCATCAGTCCTATAGGGATGCTCTATTATCCCGGAAGACCCCTAGAAAATATTCCACTAATGACTGGACATACAACAGACCACCACAGAACAGGCAACAACGAGTCACATATAACCAACACCATCAACGATATGAACACAGAAAGACAGAGTATGAACACAGAAACACAGAGTATCGAGATCAAGGAAGATACCAACATTATCCAAGACAGACCTCCTTTGTATCTAGAAGTGGAAAATCGTCTGACTTTAAGGAAACATCATCCCCAAGCCCTAGAATTCTTCCCCCAGATCACAGAAAGACTAACTTGGAGAATAATCAAAGACATATCTCCAGTATTCACACTGAGAATGATTTTTTAGAGAAACGGGGGAGGATTCCCCCCCAAGAGATTCTCAGTGGAAGATTTCATGTCTCCGGATGTGAGAAAGAAAAGAACATTAAGAGATCTAGAAGAAGAAGCAGAACTACACGAAGAACAGACACAACAGAAAAGGAGGAAATAAATATTTTCAACTTATCCAATAGGACCCTTACCTCCGATGAAACATCCCTTCTGAAAAAAGGCCTTAAGTTCGCTCCTACATCCAAGAATTCAGATTTTAACGTTTTTATAGATCTACACAAATTTATACGGAAGTTATCAATTAAGAAATTCTTCCTTGAAAAAGACATGGCAAAACAAGAAACAGATTTGGATTATACTCACACTGGGCTACACCCAACCTCCACTTTTTATCCACAACACATGAAAAATGACTCCATTCGAGTATTTGAAAAAATGGTCGAGAAAGACTTTAGGAGCAAAATCACCAAGAAAATCACGAAAGATAATTTGACCAGAAAAGAAAGGAATGCACTCAAACAACTCATGAGATCTGAAGACATCACAATAAAAGCAGCGGATAAAGGTGGTGGATTGGTTATTCTCAATACCAGCGATTATGGGGAGGAAAATCGGAGATTATTAGGAGACACTAATACGTATCTGCAATTGAAAGGTGATCCCACTATCCAATATCAAGACGAACTTAAGGAAATACTGAATTACGGAAAGGATAGAGGGATTTTAAATGAAAGAGAATACAAATATCTGTATGTCCAATACCCAAGGATACCGGTATTCTACCATCTACCAAAAATACATAAGAGACTGGTGAAACCTCCTGGAAGGCCAATCGTATCAGGAATTGGATCCCTCACCTCAAACCTTTCTGAATACGTTGACCAATATTTGCAACGTTTGGTCTCCTGTTTAAAATCCTACCTCAGAGATTCCACTCAAGTTTTAAACATTTTATCTGATTTTAAGTGGGAAGATGAGATGATTTTAGTCACTGCTGATGTTACCTCTCTCTATACAGTAATTGAACACCTCCAAGGATGTGAGGCCACACAATTCTCCCTAGCAACATATTCCGATTTAAAAAATGACCAAATTGATTTCCTCATTCAGTGTATCGTTTTTATTCTCACACATAATTATTTTTGGTGTGATGACTTATTTTATCTACAGATTGAAGGCACAGCCATGGGGACACGATTTGCGCCAAGTTACGCTAATTTATTTATGGGCAAATGGGAAGAAGAATATATATGGACCCATTGCCCATTTGGCGCAAATCTGTCCCTGTGGCTCAGATATATCGACGATTGCTTCTTTATATGGAAAGGAGACCTTGGATCCTTAGAGAGTTTTAAAACTTATCTTAACAACAACCCATATCATCTGAACTTTACTTTTAACCACTCTAAAGAACACATTGAATTTTTAGATCTGGATATCTATATCAAAGAGGGACAAATCAACACCAAGACTTTTAAGAAGAATGTGGACTGTAATAGTTTTATTCCTTTTAACAGCCATCACAAGTCAACATGGTTAAGAAACATACCTCAGAACCAGTTCAGGAGGGTAAGACGCAACTGCTCGAATAATGAAGTGTGTAAGTCACAAATGGAAGAAATGAAGCAGAGATTCCTGAAAAAGGGTTATCCCCCAACGCTATTAGAAGAATCTATGGATATAGCACTTACCACCCCAAGAGAGGATACCTTATGCAATAAACCCAGCACCACAGAAGTATCCAATTCAGCACCCACCTTTATCACTAAATATAATCATCAATTTCATACAATACAGAAGACACTTAGGAAGCACTGGGGGATCCTTAAGAATGATCCAACGTTATCTAAATTCCTCGACAATCAACCTCAGATTATTTTTACTAGGGCACCCAACCTGCAACTTATGCTGGCACCGACCACCAAACCTGAAAGTGCTGATTTGGATCAAGGTACCATCAGTGGCTTCACAAGATGCAAGAAGTGTCTAGCATGTAGAAATAATCCATCATTAGAAGACACAACCACTGGATTTAAATCCCACACCACTCAAGAGGAATATGATATCAAGACCAACATGGACTGTACTACATCAGGAGTTATCTATTTAATAACATGTCCATGCCCACAACAATATATTGGACGTACAAAAAGACCCCTCAAAATACGTATTGCTGAACACATTAGAAATATTAAGAAGGGACTTCCAACGCATAATCTTTCCAAGCACTTTAAAGAGATACATGGGGGAGACCCACAGGACTTGCATTTATGCCTATTGAGAAAGTGAATACCCACTGGAGAGGAGGCAGCATTGATAAGGCTCTAGATCAGACAGAAGCGAAGTGGATTTTTAAGTTAGGGACTTTGGTCCCTAAGGGACTTAATGTAGATTTTGAGCTTAATGCTTTCCTATAATATATCTTTATTATTTATTTATTTATTTATTATTTTTTTTTTTTTTTTTTTTTTTTTTTTTTTTTTTTTTTTTTTTTTTTTTTTTTTTTTTTTTTTTTTTTTTTTTTTTTTTTCTTTTTCTTTTTTTTTCCACCTTTATTTATAGTTACAGACTACCACCAGGGATTATTCATTTATTTATTTATTTATTATCTATTTTGTATATATTAACTATTATTTGTTCTCCTGTTTTCTCCTAGAAGGATGGATTGACACTATACCTATATGGTACCTATCTAGTATTGGTTATCCATATGTAGTCAATATACTATTATGATTTTATCCATCTTCATGTATATATACCAATTTATGTCCAGCATTTCATTATCTCTAATTGATTCATTAAATATGTTCCTTCCATTTGGAACATTCATATATTGCTTTTATGTATTTTTACATTTACCGGTCTTATGTATCTGTCTACATTTTATGAGACTTTATAAATATTGTTTTTACCCTAGTGGCAATGATTTGCATTTTATGTATATGTATGTATCATTTTATGCAGGTACAAATACTGTTTTTATTAGTATAGAATATATTGGTTTTAACACCTAAATGTGATTGATAATTAGGCAATGTATATAAAGAAGAACTGAAGCACTAGACACTATTATGTCTCTGATGAAGTAGGGCCCATTCCCTACGAAACGCGTAAGACAGGCATTCCAGCAACACACGGGATCAGACGCATGTACCAGCAGCACCACTAATCTGCACACGCAGGACCTGTTTGGAAAGTACCGCCACCGGAGGCATCTGTCCTGCACGTCCCCTGAAGTGAGGCTCCTGCTCGGGACGTGCTCACAGACACAAGCCATCCTCACCGGCAGCTGTATATTGAATCATCACAATCCATATCCATCCTTAACAATCTGAAGGTCCTTGCTGTTATTTTTCAATGCTTCAGTCTGGTAATGCATTTCTGAATCTAGTGTGACCTGTATTTTTATCTTTAACTTTTTCCAAAGTTATTTTATTATATTCAATAAACTGGCATTTTTTTCTTATATGAAGTGATCCAGTTTTATGCTTCAGTTTTCCAGCGATATATTGTTTTCATTTTTATTGCCTAAAGCTAACAGTTCCTTGTACTGTATAGCTTATTTTTTACTTCTATCTTTTACTAAGTATATTATTTGCAACAGGTATCATTTATCCCTCATGTTGTTTGGGATATAGACACCAGTTTCATACATATTTTTTGGTCATCCAGCAGAGAATTTGGTCTCTCATCTTTCCCCTTTTTGCATTTTAGTATTTTATTTATATATATATATATATATATATATATATATATATATATATATATATATACACCTTATTTTTTTTATTTATTTATTTATTTATTTTTTTACCCCCCCTTATATAGCACTGCTTTGCATGTTTGCACACTCTTAAAGGACATTTAAAGGTATAGCAGCATTCTCTTTGTATTCTTGCACATTTAAAGGGATATCCCGTTTATTTGAGATCTCCACTCATAGCACTTTTACTCACATTTTTGCACATTTATAGGGATACTTTGTCCATTTCAGATTTAAAGGCATAGTACCATATATATATTTTTATATTTATATATTTCTTTTTTTTTTTTTATATTTATCTCTATGTATTAGTATTTT